TCAATTTATGCAGATCATTTCATTACTTAATTTATGCATTAATTTGATGATCAATTTTGTAGTACCAATTTGATTGATTACAGATCATCTGTAGATCAATTTTGCAGATCTAATTTCAAGGGTAACATCTGCTATGCTTCCTTTTGCAAAGTCTCTTCGTAAATAACGTCTTAAAATTTGTGCTTAATTTATTAATTCTTTTTATTATAATATTATAAATTTTAATTAAAAAAATAAATAATCAAATTGTTTTATAATAAAGTAAAATCATATTCGTATTTGTATATTAGTAACATTATTTTCAATTAAATTCTCAAGATCTGCAAGAATCTCATATCTATATTTATTACAAGTTAAATATAAGCTTCCTAAATTATCCTTGTATTGATATTGCTTTCCCTGAAGATATGTCATAAATGTAATCTGATACATACTATTAGAAAATAATTCAAAAAATTTTTTCTATAAAGAAGGTTTATAACTTGAAGATATAAAATAGGTAAGCCACTTTTATTATCTGTTTTAAAACTACTCATATTTACATTTTTCTTGCTTAAAAAAAATATTTCAATTGGGCTAATGATTCTTCTGATAACTTAGTTCAATGAATAATAGGTTTAGATAATAGAGACATGTTATGAATATTCAATTAGACATGTTTACAAGCTTCAAAGATAGTATGTATACTAACCTTGATTTAAAAATATTTATTAGTATTAGTATTAGAATTAAAATAATATTTTATTCAATATAAACTTACTATAAATAGTAGATTATAGTATCTTCAGCCGTTTATGACTAAATAATATAATTATATTATTTAGTCATAAACAGTTTAGATTAGATTATTTAGTAATAAAATAATCTAACCATATCTAAATAATCTAAATATAACTAAATAATTTAACTATGACTATAAATAATCTAAATATGACTATAAACAATCTAAATATAACTAAATAATTTAAATATATCTAAATAATTTAAAGTTAATAACCTAAATATGATTAAATAATCTAACTAAATAACTTATTTGTGACGATTTTGTATACCTAGTTATTCTTCTTACTATATTTCTTCTCTTTGAGTTTACTTTTCTTTAACTTTTTCCCATTTATTATTTGTGGTCATGTGATTAAATAACCTAAATATTACTATTACTAAATAATTGGAATGTACCTATTTTTATTTAGCTTTGTATTCTAATTAAGGTTGCTGGACGAAATCAAGAGTTTAGACAGACGTCTAAATGGTAAAAGTAAAACTTGGTTAAATCATATTAAAACCTTATTAAAAAATCTGCGAAATTTGGAAAAAGGTAAAACTATATCAAAGCTTATAAAAATGGTGAAACTATATCAAACACTTAGTAAAAATTTAGCGAAACTAAAGGTTTTACCATTTTGCCAAATCCAAAATGAGTTTAGACAAGCAACCTTAATTCTAATAATCACTTTCTAATATAATTTATATTATTGAGGTTTTACGGTTGATTGGCTGTTGAATTCTATGTTGGAGGTCTGGCTTGTCTGCAATTGTTTGGATCCCAAGTTTTATGACGGAGTTTATGCCATTCTGTGCCTTTTTGGTTACCTGTTAAGGGTTTGAGGGTGATTTCCTTCTTCGCCTATTTTGTTATCCATCAAAATGCTGAAATATGGTAAAAAATATCATGTTGGGTGGTGCAGTAGATCTGCGATTAATTTTGGCTGATACTATGCTATAATTTCAGCTGATCTTTTGGGCATGTGATTTTAGGTTCCATAATGGTACTGTAATGGTGACTTGGTAGTGTTATGGAACTGTTGAGAAACTGGCATGGAACTGGTAGGGAGCCAGAGAGGTTCTATTTGTTCGTCAGTTTCAGATCACTTCTTGAATGCTGAGTTATTATGTCCAAAGATCTGACCAAATTTATGAAATAGTACTGGCTGAAATGATTGTTATTTTACTACGCCTTCAGTTCTAGGTACTTTCCTGTCACTTCTTCGCAACCTTCTCACAACCCAATATTTATGTATTTGTATCACATATTTCTAGTATTCAGAGTTCTGGCCGAATTTGTGGAATAATACTGGCTAACATTATTATTATTATTCTGCGCCTTCAGTTCTGGCACTTCTGAAGTCTGATCATGGTTTAAACTGGGTCAGAGATAATGTATATGCTATTTTTGAATGTTCCTAAGGCAGAAATTTTACTGGACCACTTTCTAAGACAGGATTTGTTATAAGAGAAAGTGATCTTTTCTCAAATCAACTTGTTCCTGTATTATCTTCCCTAGGTACCTAGGTGTTCTAGTAAAATAAAGTTCTTGGAAGAAAAACAAAAATTTTCTATGGTTATCTTTTGGTATATATATTGGTATGCTATATATGCTATATGTATGCTATATGTGTCAGTATGTTATACCCATAGATAAAAAATAAAAAAAAGTAAAGAAGTCCGATTTTTTCTAAGCCATCTAGGTCACCTAGGGCAGACCATTCAAGAAACTATTCTAGTATCCTAATAAAGTTAATTTGCTATTTTGCTTCTGTCTCTGGAAGTTAAAAACTTTCTAGGGCAGATTTTTCTAGGGCAGATTTTCTAAGGCATTTAGCTTCTTTCTATGGTAAGATGTTTTCGAATAATACTTATCTATATATAAATTACATATACCATGGATTGAGGTAGTTGGTTTCTCACATTGTTTGCAAGAGTTCTGCTGTCGTCTTTTTCAATGAAATTTGCAACCTAACTATTGCCTATTTGTTGCCAGTATATTGGCGATACTTTTGAGGACTGATCATGGTTTATTCTGGGCTGAGGAAGTGTGTATGCCATTTTTTTGAACGTCCCTAATATCCTTAGTAAAAATTTTCTGAGGACGCTTTTTAGGGACAGTTTTGCTATTGGATTTGGGCTTTTGAGCTTGTTTGATTGTATTCTTTTATGTTTGTCCTTAGTGTCCCTAGTGTCCTTAGAAAAAGTAAAGTTTTAGGAAAAAATTTGAAACTTTCCTAATGTATACCTATTTATATGCTATTTGTATGCTATATGTATGATATATGGCTTTATGTCTATGAGAAAAAAATAAAAAAAGTTTAGAAGTTTCGATTTTTCACAGGGACAGAAGAGACACTAAGGACACCCATCTAGAAGACCTTCTGGAAATCTAAAAATATTAAAAAGCCTACTTTCAACGTCCTGGAAAAGTGTCTCCCACATTTTTTCTAGGGACAACTTTTGAGGATAACTTCTTAGAGCCAAATTGTCACATTGAGCATTCTCATTTCATCGAGAGCCTCTCCCAATGCTTCTAGTGCATGCCCATTCTGAAGCATCTTATCCAATTTCTTCTGGTAATAACGCGCTTTTGAATGGCACTTATTTACATGCCAATTACAAACACATATATCGATGCTGTCCATCTTACACACTCATCATGTTTGCATAGCTATCGCTAGCATCTTTTCCAGTGAATATGACATTCTTCTGGTCACGTACTTCCACCTTCACAAACTTCTCCTTCATTGGAGCGATATTGGCAAATGTAGAGATACTGGCAATTGTTTACACACTTATCAATGTAATCCATGCTGAATCCGATGTCTACAATTTTGATATTATTCTTCTTTTGGCCGGTTAATCTTTTAATGTCTATAATAATTATTTATTTTTATTTTGAACTTTTTTTTTAGGGTATTATACCAAAGGGTATACTAGATAACATATCTCAAAAATTTTACTATAAGTCAATCAGATCTTTCAGAGTTCCTCGATGCCCCTGCCTCCTATTATTATTGGTTCAAAGCCTCCGATATAGTTCAATGCTTACATAGAATTCGTGATGATAGTATTAGACCAAGGTATTTCCTTAGTGCAGATAATGAGGATGAAATAGAAGCCATACTCTCAGATCGTGAAGATCATTCCTTACACGAATTTATTGATGGTGATGAGCTACTTCGTTCTGTTATTGATTTTGATTTGCTTGTAGAAACATTAAATACTATAATCCCTAAGCTTTCAGACAAACAGGCGAAAAATTTATTTTGTTGCGCTTTTAGGGATATTTGTCTAGAAGTATTTTCAAAATAGGACAAAAAAACTATGGCCATTGCTGATAGTAGCGATGCAAACAAAATATCTCTTCATGTCTCAACTTTCGGAATGAGGCTTTCACATATTGCTCAGGTTGCTGTATTCACTGAACTTGTCCGTAAAAAACTTTCTGAGTCTCTCCAGTAAAAAAGTATTATTGATAACATCGCAAAAAAGCAATCCTTTTCCCTAAGAATGCTTGGATCACCCAAGTATAAGGAAGAAACTAATGAACATATTCGTATTAAAAAAGCTATTCGTCCAAGAGATGGAACTGTCTTTGACTTTATGATCTGTGCATCTAATGATAAATCAGAAGTCGTAAAAAGTTCTCTTTTAGATATTCCAGAGCCAAAAGTCAAAATATGTGATGATACAAATAGCAAAGCTGATCTCGAGCTCGAACTTAAAGTAGTAGAGAAATTTCTTGAAGAGGCTAGCATTGAAGGATTTAACCTTTCATTTCCATTAGAAGCATCTCCTGATATCTTTTACCTCAAACGTATAGCCTTATCATATTGTTCATTATGTGACCGGAAATATACTAGTGAAAATGCATATATCAGACGATATAAAAAATTTTATAGTTTTCACTTCTACTGTGCAGACCAGAAAATGCCACCCAAGAAAAGAAAGCCTTCAATAAAACTTGCTCCTAGTGGGACAGCTTTGAGCCGAGAAAAAAACCTTCTGGCTCCAGTAAAATTAGAACAATCCAGAATTATGAATCCGAAGGATAGCTTTGTATGATAGGATTTAATACGAATGTGTACTTCAGGTAAGAAATTCCCCTGTGCTAAGGTTTATGAAGCAATCCAATCCACAGTTACCCACATTCCAAAAGAAATACCAATATGGTTACTAAAACATAAAGATTTAAAAAATAGACTTTATTTTGGTATGGGATCTGAGCTGAAGATTGCCAAGTTTGAGATTAAAATAATCGAATATGGGGTGAAACAGTGAAGTTAAAATCATTAATAGACCAGGCTGTTATTAAAGGTCTAATTATTTATGAAGACTATAATTTCCTTCCATACCCCATAAACGTTCCTTAGCCAGTTACAGATTTCTTTAATCTTTTCTTGGGATTTTTGGCTAAACCAGTGCCAGAAATTAATAAAGAAATTATGGATCCTATTCTCTGGCATGTATTAAATGTAATTTGTGATGGAAACAAAGAACTCAATAAGTATATCTGGAATTGGTAGGCATATTTAGTGCAGAAGCCAGAAAAAAAGCCTTGGTCAATCTTAGTCTTAAATTCTATACTACAGCAGTGTAGAAAAAATATTATCACTGACTTTATTGGTGACAAAGTCTAGGTGAACATCTCCATTATGCTACATCAGATTTGGAAAAATTCTTGGATGATTTAATAATGTCATCCAAGCTCGAAAGCTTATTGTTATGAATGAGACTGGGATGTTTAGTGGAGATTGGCATAAATTTAACGGACATCTTAAATCTCTTATAACAGAAGGAATGGTGTCTATAGAGCGTAAGGGTATTGAAACAAAGCGAATTAGAGATTTCATCAGATTTATAGTTATAAGCAACTAGGATGCCCTGCTTAAAATAGATATTAGGGATTCCTGTGTAGTCTGTTTTGATGTGTCTTCATGATGTAGAGGAAATACAGCATATTTTAAGCGACTAGAAAAGTTCTTGACCATCCCGATACACCTGGAGTGGTTATGAAATATCTTCTTAGTCGTGATCTCTCAGATTTTGAACCTCAAGAAATTCCTGCAACTAAAATGAAGGCAGATATAATGCGTGACCAACTTTCTACTCCCATTCGATTTATAATCAATTATATTTCCTCATAGTGTGAGAATAAAGTAGCCAAACCAAGTTGTATATCACTATATCAAAATTATCTTGAACGGTGTGGGGAGAATGGGGAAAAACCATTTAATAGTGCTATACTAGGAAAGAAGTTTTCACAAATCGGCATTGATCAGGCATGATCACGAGAAAATAGTGTAAGAGTATATCAATATATTCTTAACTGCTTCAAAATCGTGGCCAGGCTCCATGAATTAGGTCTAGGTGATATGGAAGAATTTTCTGATACACCCAACCTGACTTACCTAAAAATGAGACCACAAATATACTCTTATTTAATGTGCCAGAAACCATAATCCCACCTCAGCCAAAAAAGAACACACCTTCACCTAATACTAGTAAAAATAAGAAGGCAGATAAAACAGGATGGGAAATCCAGGACCTTTTTGATTATGTGGCAGAAGATACACATGCTTCGGTCACCTCCACATCTGGCACATCTGAGACTTTTGAACCACATGAGTCTGTAATCAATGAACCTAAGATCAGTAAACCACCCTATAAATAATATGTATAAGAAAAGTATACGGAAATAATACGTTTAAAAAACGTATAATAAACGTAGAAAAACAG